TGCTCTTGCAGCACTTAGATCCAAACTACTTAGTCTCGTGGCTAAGGAGAGACATTGGGTCCCAGAGTTCTTTGCTTTGCTGAGGCACCGTAGACGCATATGCCACAGGAGCATTAGTGCTGCTATAAGACGTATTGGGGCACATGCTTCGTAGACCTTTGCGGTTTGTTAAGGTGCCCCAAGGCGTCGGTGGGTCCCCAAGGCCATCGGGGGATACGACATTTCCGTGGAGCACCTGCTGGCAGGCCGATGTCTTCGTTGATGCACCTGTGTGCCCCTCGCAAGCAAGTTTTGGATCAGTTTGGCCTTGCCGAGGCCGACCTCGTCTGGGTGAAGGTCCGACACGTGACCTTGACGCACATAGCGGCTCGACTGGGCGAGGAGTCTGATTCATACGCATTTCGTTTGATCATGGATCGTTTGACTCTAGGCCCGTCCCCATCAACACGTCCCCTTCCCTTCCTCCTGCTCCTCCCTGCTCCGGTAGCCCAGGCTGGCGCACGCGGAGCAGCTACAGCCAAAGCACATCCTCCCTTCTACCGCCTCCGTCGGGTGGCGGAGAGGAACGAGGACGAACGGTGACGGCTGAGGACAGGGAGGGGGTCGCAGGGCAGGGGGGAAGGGGAAGGAAGGCAACGGGGCCTCGGACCTCCTGTCGGCGGTTGCTACAGCTGCCCCTGGCACAAGATACCCCCAGCTTTTCGCTCAATTTTGGAGCTCCTGGGGCCCCCTGGGCCTCGTGAGGGGTGCTCAGGATGCCGTGGGGGCCTCCATGGAAATCCTGGGGGCACCTTGGGCCCGGGGCACTTCCAGCAACACCCGATCCTGGGATGTCTTCGCCGCCACGGCCGGACCCGCCTCGAAACGCTGACCGGCATGCGCCTCACGGGCAGGCCCGAGGATCGAGGGGGGAGGAGGGGAGCGGAGAGGACGTGAGTGGAGGACGGGCATGGGGGGAGGTGGGGCAGCATGAAAGAATACTCGTAGGACTACGCAAGTGACGAGACAGAGGCTACACCCGTCTGGCGGAGAGGCACAGAAGGACGGAGGAGCTCAACAACCTAATGTCAACCGAGTTCGCGCGCTGCGCCGCGCGACCCGCGATCGCACTCGAATGCGGGCAGCTCTCCTGCAGGCCAGTCCGAAGAGCTCTGTCGTCTTCGCGCCCTCTCGGGTGACCAGGCAGCAAGTGGCGGGGGACAGGGCGGCGATTTGGGATGGGAGGCTGTGCCGTGGGGGAGGAAGACAAGGAGGTTGACATCTACGCGTACATACAGAAACCCACCAGCCCTTTGGGCGTGACTGATTTAGGGAGTTCCCTCTTCCATCTTACCTCTTCCCCTTGGGGGAGGGGTTATCACTGCTCCTTTTTAGTATGCACCCCCTCCCCCAGGCGACCGGGGGCCAACCAGGCACCATGCCGACACCATGCTCACCCGCCCCCCACCATCCCTGTCACAAAAACAATACAAGCCGCACTGTGCCTCCACATTTAGAGCATGCGCGGCCAACCCGACGCGCCCCCCCCACCATCCCGGTTAAAAATCAATACAGAGTACGTTGTGGGGCAAAGTCTTGAGTCATGTTCGTGAGGCCCGCGAGCACTTCGTATTGTATTTGATAAGGACGGCGGGGGTGTCAGCATATTCCCTGCTGTGCGCAGGGCTACCATTCTGACAAAAAATAATACATCATGCACCTCGTGGCTAAATCTGGATCATGCGCGGCCATCCCGCGATCACTGTCAAGTGGTTTTTGATAGGGACGGCGGGGGTGGTGGCGCGTGGCCTGCTGTGCGCAGGCCCAGCAGACACAATGATGGGCATCGATTTTCGACAAGGATGGCGGGGGCCGACATGTTTCCCGATGTGTGCTGTCACGTGAGCAGGCGCACCTGATACACTCTGCGCACGTGCCACGAACGCGGCGCACCTGGCGCGGCTGGAGTGTGCGGCACACCTGGCGCACTCGGAGCACGCGGTGCATCTGGCGCACCAGGCGTGGCACGCTCGGGCCCCAGGGGTGCCTGGCGCGCGTGGCGCCCCTGGCACGCGTGGCGCACCTCACCCAAACGTCGCGCACCTGGGATCGGCTTTGGTTCCCAGTAGCTGTCCATCCACAGACGACCGCTGAACATGCTCAGGCTCGGGTGCCACTTATGTGTAGGGAGGGCGGGTGGGAGTGAGCTAGACGGCTTGCGGGCGGGTGGGTGTCTTGACCCCTCCCCCTACTCCCTCCCTTGGGACTGGAGGGGAGGAGCCGCGAGGTGTCAGAGCGTCCTTCAAGGCCTCAGCGAGAAGGCACACATCATTGATTGTACTCAAGGTTTGGCCCAATTTCGCTGACCCCAGATGAGCACGACCCTAGATGAGCACCCCCCTTTGGGACCGTCACCTCCTAGATAACCTCAAGATGCCCCCCAAGGCCCCTAAGGCTGCCACGAGTGCCCCAAGAAGGCTCCAAACGGCGCCCGGTAGGCCCCAAGAACCTCCCAAGAGGTTCCCAAGAGGCTTTTTTTGAGACCTAGAGCGCGCCCCTACAGATCCTGCGGGGCACTCAACACAGAGCCCCTGGGACCGCCAAGAGGCCCCCAAGACGCCCCCAGAGGACCCCAAGAAGCTCTGAAGAGACATCGGAAGAGACTCCGAGAGGCATCCAAGAAGCCTCTGGCCATTCTGCTCGCCCTCCTCTTCTTCCCCCGCCTCTTCCGCTTCCTCCCTCCTCCCTTCTTCCCTATACCCATCCCCCTCCGCCGATTCCTTCTCCAACCTCCCCATGACGGCTTCGCCAGTCGTTCATTCAACCGCATGCTCTTCCACATCCCTGGTCAAGGCAGTCCGCCTGGGCATCGTTGGGGTTGCGCGAAGCGTCTAGATATACACAGATGTGTGTATGAGCATATGTATGTATAGAGATGTATAGAGGAGGGAATCGATGAGAGGTGGCGACCTTCTTCTCCTCCTACTCCTGCTCCTGCCCCTCCTCCAGTCTCACCTTCGAGAGAACATCTCCGATACGTAAATCGTGTGCGTTCCCCGTGCATCGGGACCCCACGATTATCCTGAGGCGCCCCCCCGATGAGAATGGGGCTCCAACAATGATGATCAGGCAGCCATGCAGGGATTTGTCTGTCATTCGCTGCCCCGCGGGTGGAACACATTTTGTTCTTTGCAAGCGCCTTCGGACAACATCATTTCTATGTGCAACAATCCATTTTCTCGGGGCTCCACTTGCAGGAAGGTGCTGGGAAGGCGATGGGAAGACCGATGGATTCCGTGAACCTCGGGATATTCGAAGCTCTCTGGATTTGTGTGGTGGCCCCTCAAGCCCATTGAGGAGGTTCTGAGGGCCTTGTCTTTCAGAACTTATGCCTCAGCCAATGTCTCTGTAGACGGATTAGTGCTTCGTTTAATTGCGAGAAATGAAACGCGATGCACGGGGTCCCTCGAGCCCCCGAGCGGAGGAGGGAGAAGGGTAAAGAAGGGGGAGGAGAGAAAGAGAGAGAGAGAGAGAAAGCATAACAATCACGAGAGAGAGAGAGAAACAGCAAAGGGAGAGACGGAGACAGAGAGAAAGAGAAAGAGAGAGAAAGAGAGAGAAAACAAAAACAAAGCAGCGAGATGAGAACGCCTTTGCATCCTGGGGTGGGGCCATGCGAGCCCAGACATCGGACGTCGTGGACAAAACCACGACTTCGTGACACAACTCGCAGCCCGAACCCCTCGACTCTTACTTTTACGCTGGACCTCCCCGGCCGGACCGATCCGCGAGGATCGTATGGGGCCCGACGCGTGGCGAAACCGCACGTCGGTGATTTTCTTCACGACGCCTGGGCAACCAAGAAACAGCTCATGGAGTGCCACTCAGGAAAGCTCGTGCTACCGCCGTGGAGCCCTCGTCGAGCCGAAGCTGCTGCAAGGGACCGCAGATGAACAAAAAGTGGAACCCTTGACCCCCCCCCTCCCCCAGATCCAAAGTTGGTCCCAGGCATTCGGCAGCACAGGGCTGAGAGGACAAAAACAGTGGACCCCCAGGGCCTCCGCCAAGCCCGACCCAACTTTGGATCTGGGGGGAGATGGTCGGGGCGAACACGGGGTCGAACACGAAGGGGTCCTATACCCTTTTGTCCCCTTCCCGGAGGTCTCCGGAGGTCTCCTGAGGCCCCCTTTCGACCGCGGCGGAGGCGGCGGTGGGCGCGAGGCTGCCTCTGCGATCCTCGGAGGTGCGATCCCCCCGAGGAGGCCGCCCCTCCCGGTGCCGTGCGCCCTCCACCGCAGAGGCCCCGGCAGGCCTCGAGCTCCCTCCGCCTCGACCCTCCCAGACCCCCCGATCGTCGACCCCCGCGAGGCCTGGGCCCGTTCCCCCCCGGGGGCAGGTGCGTCGTCCTGACCGTAGTTCTGTCGACGGTCCCGAGGCCGGGTCCGGGGACCGATTCTCGTGGACTTGTCGGCTGCACCTGCGAGGGACTCTTCACCAGGGTGATCTCTGGTACGGGCCCATTGGGGACCCCCGATCGCCGAACGCGATGCGATAGGTAGCGTCTTGCGCGCTTGGGTTTGGCAGCCCCGCGGCTCCCCGAAAGCCGCGCACCAGACGTCACTCTTGCCTAGGGCCGCTCTTGCGTGTAGTCGAGTTTGGCCCCTTCCCCCCCTTCTTGACCGACTTTCTCGGGGACCATCCAGTTCATCGGCGGCTAGTGAGGGGGGGAAGTGAGAAGGGGCTGGCCCTCTCAGAAGGCTCGGAAGTCCCCCAGGCTCCCGAGAAGTTTCCCAAGCCTTCCCCCGAAAGCAAAAAGACACTCTCGGAAGGCGCGAGGGCTTCTGAGGAGTCCCGCCGCCTTGTGAGAAGGCCTTCCCCCGCTCACTTCCCCCCCCCCCTCATCGCTCGCCGACGAGCCGGGGAAGGGCCCACCAGAGGCCAGAGACAGCAGGCAAAGACCTCCCGCCGTGGTCTTGCCCTGCTGCCTCGACGGGGCCTGGGCCCCCCGACCCTCGCGCGGC